GGCAGACAAAATAGATAGAACAAACATTGTTATGGCATTTAAATTGTTAATGCCAGTTAATTCTTAGCTAATGTTCTTATTCAACAAGGGAAACATTTAAGCCAAAAAAATTGACTGATTGTCAGAAATATAGACCATTTGAAATGGATTTAGGACTTTAAATAATTACAATTTTATTGGAGATTTTACGGATGTGAACATTAAGTATTTTTGATCTACTTCTGCTAGAGTATCAGAGTTTGCTGCAGCTGTTTCAGTTAAAATTGTCTCCGTATGTAAGTGATGTGTCAGACAATCTTGTTAGCCTTGTCATTTCAAACTACACTCGCGAAGCACTATCAAAATTTCTGGTGTTCACATTCTAATAAATGATCTGGTCATTTCTAGAGAATTTCTCACTTATCTGAAGGGGTCTGCTAATAGTCTTATCAGGGTTCAACACAATTTTTTAATTCTCTTTCAAGAAGTAGATTTATTTTTTTATTTCCTGTCAATTGTCGAAGAATTTGGGTATATTAATAGATTCATTTTCTGTTACATGTCAGCATCGTATGGCAGGATTAGCCATTATTGAAATTGCACAAAAGGTTGCAAAAGCATGGCGTTCTTTACAAAATGAATGGAAGCATTCTAATAAAAGCACATCAAAATATGGTAAACGTGTCCGGAGAAGAATCAACACACCCAGCCAGAATAGAGGTGGGGCAGGTTGTAGTACCAGTAGTTCCTCTGAAACGACAACCTCATATGGCATTCTTGAAGATAGATCATCTGGCCGTTCTATGATGTCATGGAAAGATGTTTACTCGATGGCTGTCAAATGGAGGCAGATATCTGAACCTTGTGACCCAGTTGTTTGGGTTAACAAGCTTAGGTATTCTCTTCATCTACCAAATTGAGTAAAATCTGTTGGGATTGTCATGCGTTTTGTAACAGTGCTATTTACCGGTGGTGTGATTTTCATTGCTGCCTTGTTACTTTGTTTGGAATAGAATGACTGAAAACTATGGTTTTAACTATTTTTGGTTATTTTTTCTTTTTAATGTGAAACATTGCCATCATTTTTATTCCTCGTAAAACATTAAACTCAAGCAAAAGCAGTACTGTCAAATCAAGACAACTCTTTTACTATCTCTTACCTTATTTGCTTGTGAGTTCCCATTCGAACATGCACTTTCTGCTCCTAGTCAACTCCATATGTAGATCTCACATTTGTTGAGTTGCTATAGTTATTCATGTGATGCTGAATCCAAACAATTCAGAAAAAAATTTCTACTTTTGTTTTATGTTTTTGAAAGTTTCAGATGAATGGTTTAATATGCTCTTCCTTTCTCCCATTGTTTATTTTCGTGTTAATTTGGTATCCTTGCAATTCAGTGAGGAGTTCAATTCTGGATTTGGGTCTCACACACCAATGATTCTTGGACAAGCGAAAGTTATTCGCTACTATCAAAATTATGAAAGGTGATACCTGTTTCTGATTTCCTTTAGATCAATGTTGTCTCTATAAATGCTCACTACTGGTTGACACTGCAGAACATTTGATGTTGTAAAAACAATCATGAAGGATAAACTCTTTGTGCACAACAAGTCAGACAACATCATTGATCTGCCCAAAGATAAAATTCAAGCTGTGAGCATTTCAACTCTGTTTCCATGGATGATCTCCCTCCATTTTTTCTTTCCATGATGCTCAAAATAGGATGTTTTGTGTATAATTTTTTTGTAATGTGAATCATCTAAAATGTACGAGTGAAAGCTAATTAAATAGTAAGCTATGAAAGAGGTCAACTAGTTCCTGAAAGACAACAATTCAAGTTTTGATCTGCTCTTGCTTGATTGTTACTGTTTGAAAGTCTGTCATCTTCTTCTTCTTTATTTTGAATGGCTGTATTGTTTAAAAGCCTATGAAATGAATAACATCCATAATTTATTAATTCATTATTACATTTTGATAAGGCATTCCAGTTGATCAAATATTGTCTCAATTGATGTTGTTGGGTATTGGTTAAGAACAAAGAATGATTTATGCACAAGGCTAATGTTGAGATGCCATGTGCAGATTATAGATGCAAAAAACTGTTCTGATCTATACAACGTAGTTGGTGAGGACTTCTGGTTGGCTACCTGGTGCAGCAGCACCGCATTTGAAGAGTAATTATCTTTTTAATTCAAAGTGCAATGCCAGTGAGCATATAAAGTTTCTTTCATTAACATTGTTCTTGGCTTTTCACAATCATTTCAGGAAGCAACTTGAGGGCACGAGGATTACTCTAGTGAAGATGTAAATACCTTTATTGTTGTTGTTGTTGCTACTCGTTGTTTCTTTCTTCTTTTATTTGATAATATACACTCTTCTAATTCTTTTTTTGTGGAAATATTAAATGATTCTTTCAGGGGTGAAGTTGGTTTTGACTTTGCAATCAGAACACCTTGTATGCCATCTAGATGGGATGACTTTGATGCAGAAATGACAATGGCATGGGAAGTAAGTCAACCAAGTCGTCAAAATAGTAGACCAAAACTCTTGGCATGTTTACTATCATGCTTTCATTTCTCTATTAATTTTTTTTTGTTTTTTTGTTCTGATTAGCTCATATGTATTTTAAAAAAAAGGTCCTTCAGTGTGTCATTTCTGAAGTTCTGTCTGAGCTTATGCTATTTCAATTGATTCCAAATAGAAACAGAAGATGTGCTAGCCATTTAAAAATGGAGTAGAAGAAGCTATGTCTGTTTCCCTTTAGGTCCTTGACTACCCGTGGTGTTTATCACAAGGTAGCTTTGAGAACTTCGTGTGCATAATTGACAATTCTAGTGGATGTTTTAGTGGTTGAGTGACAAAGGAGGACTTTAAGATTTGGGTTTGACTTAGGAGTGGTCTTTTTACCACTGAGACGTCAATGTAATTGTACTTCAAGCCTTTGTACCATCCATTCTGGCTATTTTTTGATATTGTAACTCTTCTGGTTGGAGCTAGACCTGATGGATGATCAAGTTTAATAAATTCTGTACATGAGTTTATACATGCCCTACTTGATAAGGTCCTAAAATTAGTAACATAACTGTACGAACCCACAACTTGGTGAAATTGCGATTACTTTCCTCAGCGGATCCGTGCTCTTTCCTTGTACTCTAGCCCCCATAAGCAGACTGGTAGCTCATTGTTATATCATGAAGTTTTGCTCGTGTCAGATTCATGATGTTGCTATTTAACACACCCACCTGCATTTTCTGCTGATGGTTTTTCTTTCTATTAAGACTGAGTAGTGGGTTTGGATTTGCAGGCTGTGTGCAATGCTTATTGCGGTGAAACTTATGGGTCAACTGATTTTGATGTCCTTGAAAATGTTAGAGATGCAATTCTAAGGATGACGTATTACTGGTATGATACATGTATGTTAATTGTGTTGAAATAATTGATCTTGGATAAGTTAAGGCTCTGTGATGATTTCTGGAATGTTTTTTAGGTACAATTTTATGCCATTGTCTAGAGGTTCTGCTGTTGTTGGGTTTACCGTTCTGCTTGGATTACTTCTCGCTGCAAATATGGAGTTCACAGGGAAAATCCCAAAGGGTATACAGGTGGACTGGGAAGCCATTCTGAATTTTGATCCTAACTCCTTTGCAGAATCTGTTAAGAGGTGGTTGTATCCTTCTCTAAAGATTACGACATCTTGGAAAGATTATCCAGATGTTGCATCGACTTTGGCAACAACAGGATCTGTAGTTGCTGCTTTGAGCTCCTATGATGATTGAGCTCCTATGAATCCAGAGCAGGTAAGTTAGATGCATTATATGTTTGAGGGGTAATTCATGATTGAGCTCCTATGAATTGTTGATCCATAATTCTTATAAATGGGGTGATATTCTTACCATGAGAACTAGGAGTAACTATTAATGCTTTGCAAAACTCAAAACACGTAATAGCATCTTGTTTCCGAGCATGCGAATGGTTCTAACAAGCGTTCTGACTATGCAACTTCAACCTCAATGCAGTGAGCAAAGCGATGTGTTGCTCTTCCCTGGAATGGAGTCCTCTCTTCATGTGGACCAGAATCTTGCCCATTACGACAAAAGATACCTCCGTTCCATACCACACCAATTTAGCAATCTTGCAGGCATTATGTGTTGTACAACATCTTAGAATAATATAGTCGCAAAGTTTTAGTCGTTGCAGATCTCCATATCTTCAAAAATAAATGCTCGTGTTTGCAGAAGTCTGCTCATTAGGATATAAATAAACAACATATCATTAGCTTTGTCGTTGTGTTTCATTTGGCTTGGTAATGATTGTATTTGATCGACAATTTCCATGGCTGGTTTTGAGCACCTGCTAACATCCATTGGTTGTGTGCTGCATCTTCCTGCCGGAAACTGCACCAACGCCCGCAATCTATATTTTCCTCGCATCTAGATAACAACCATGTGGAAAGTTGAATACAAGGTGTAGCTCATTTTATATGCTTGGTTTATGTAATGTTTGTTTTTTATGCATTGATTTGTCCATGTATGTGAAGGCTAGTATTCTTCATCGCTCTCTAGAGACCATAGGCTAAGATAAATTTATTTTCTTTTTTTCTGTTCCCCCCCACCCGCTAGAATGTACATGAGGTCACTAAACTTGGTCTGTAAAGGAAGGGTCACTGTGAATGCACGGACCCACCCGCCCACCCACCCACCCAACATCCTCGATAGAGCCAGCTGACGTTAATGCACGATAAAGCACTCGTTTATTAACGGGAGATGAACAAAATTAATAACCAATTCCTCAATATTCAACAGTAAAGAACAATTAGTGAGTTAGGTAAGATATCCCACATGCAAAATCTAGATTAGGTACTAGGAAAGATTTTGGGTTAGATTTTCAAGTGGGAACTACGGTCTTCATTAGATAACAGGTCATAATCCGTAAGCATCAATGTATTTTGTGGGGAAATTTCAAGGTAGGTTTTCGGTTAGTCAGCTCAATAAAACTTGTAGAGAAATGGTTAGGACAGAACTAAGGCAACAAAAGTATAAAATTTAAATGGCCTTCAGGTATCAACGAAGACAGCTTTGAAATCGTGAGCAGTGGCTGGATGGCAGTGCTTTTAATTTATACTAGCTCTAGCTTGTTACAGTAATATAAGCAAGTCCATGTCTCTCTGTTTCTATTATTATTGTTATGGGAATGGCCATACAATAGGACGTTGATCTGCCTCGAAGCTTCCAAATTCATTTCTCGGATTTACACAGTAGTTCAACAAATCTCACTGCATCTTGAGCTGCCAATTCTGCAGCAATGGCCAGCAGCGTCTTTTCTCTGCCTTGACCTACCTTCCTTGCTTCTACTTCTCCATTCCCCTTCCATGAACGATCCGTCTGGAACTGAATATGGCAAGGAACAGAGCTAATTTATGCTTTATGGACATAATTCAATCAATAATGCAATCTCAATGAGTATTTTGATTAAATAACTATCTAATCCTGTTAGTATTAAAAGCGGCTTAGAAAGCAAATTCTTCTTGCACAGTGGACATCCAATTAGACCCACAGAAATGAAATGATAATAGAAAAGTAGTTTCATTTCAAGAATATTAAGGTTACCACTCACCATTTCTTTCTTTGATCTCTGTCACTTGGCATTGGTCCTCTCCATGCTCTAGTACTTTTGGTTTTTCTACTTCAGCTTCATATTTGTCTTTTGACTTGGCAACAGTTGCGAAAAGCCATGTTGCATTCATTTGCTTGTGAATCATACGTGCTGCGAAGTATGGGATCTTGGCGTTCTTGTTTTTCTCAGCTTTCATGCGTCCATGGATGAACATTAAGCAGTCCATCAAACTCTCCTTAGCTAACCCTTTCATATCATAAGCCTGTGCCCTTCTCCAAAGGCTCTTCCTGTGAGGATTCGCTGTAGTGGATAGGCACAAGGCTCTAGTTGTGTCACTGATTACAGCTTCAGGGTTGTTAAGCAGCAAATAACCCTGAGCTCTATTACTGTACAGAACTATTCTCTCCTTTCTCATCTTTGATGGACACAAATCCAGGGCTTTTGTGTATCTGGTAACAGCTTTTTCAATGTGGCCAGACCAAAACTTCTTGTTTCCTTCTTGTTTCAGCATGACTACCAAGTTTTTTCTCTCTTTCAGCTCTTCTTCAGACATTAGCTCCTCTCTCTTTCTTCTCTCTACCATCAAATCCCATGTCTCCTTTAATGCTCTCTCAGCATCTTGGCTACTCAACTTTAAGTCACCATATTTGATCTTATGGTAATCCTGTAAGAGTGCCTGTGTTATTGCTTCTCCGACTTTTTTTCTTTCATTAAGGCTTCTTAGCTCTACCAAATCAGCCAGAGATAAAGCTGCGGTGTTTATGACTATATATCTTGTATCTGTGTCTTTTAGAAGTAAGAGAAGACATTCAATAGCCATACACTGCCAATCATCAGAAGATCTTGAGATATTGCATAAAATCTCTATCACTTCTTTGGAATTCGCTAAACTCTCTCTTCCAGACTTGAAGTTGCACAGAGTTCTGATGCATCCTATTCCACCAGGCGATGCGCAATTTGCCAAGCCACCCCACATGCCGCCCAACCCCTTCAGGAAGTGTTTGTTGCAGATAAGATTTAGTGATCTTCCTTTGCAAGCAAAGCAGTTTAAGAGATGCAAAGACCAGCACTGTAACTGACTAGCCCATTCCTCAGCCTTTCTGTTCTCTATCTCCAAGTCTCCAAGCCCAGTTGTAAGCAGGTCCGAATGGTACTTCACTCTCTTGCTATCTTTAACACCAATAAACCTTCTATAGACAGTTTTAATGCAATTGCAAGCTATTTCCATGGCCAACTTTATGATTTCAACTTCATGCTCGGCAATGGCTTCAAAGGTTCTCGCATGGCTAGCCAAGTGGCCTAGTGATCGAACCGCAACTCTTTGCTCAACCCAACTGATTTTGCCTCTCAGAAGTTCTATTAGAGGCAGAACCACATTCGATTTAACTGCTTTCTCGGCAAATTGAACTTTGTTCATGGTGTATGAACCAATAATATGCGCTGCATAGTATGGGATGTAGATGTTTTGATCTCTAAGAAGCCATTCCTTATCGTTAACGGCTCTCTGGATCAGTTTTCCCATGCACTCAAAGACGCCAAGGGAGGGGAACTCAGGATCATCAGGTTGAGTCATGGCAATGTTCCAGATCCCACGTAGGACCAAGACGTGTTCTTGATCATCTCTCAGGGGCATTTCTTTGAAGCATCGAGCTAGTTTGGCTTTTCTGAGAGACGGGTCTTGTTCGTTCATGGTGCAAAAGAAACATGAAGGATTGGTGCATGCTGGTTCTTGGACCGAACTGATCCTGTCAAGTGACTTCTTTTGAGATTGTGACTCCATTGGAGGTTTGCGCAATGAGTAGAGTCGTCGAGTGTTTTGAATTCTCGTGGTGGGGTGATGTACTTAACATGTAAGTTCAGTACTGCCTGTGAGAGGGGGGGGATAATTACACTTTAAGCAAGCAGCAGCCAGTAATAAAGTAACGTCCAAAACTAGGCTGAATCATATTCACAGGTGGGCCGAAAGAGAGAAATATTTTAGTGGAAATGAAACCAAGTTGGAATTAACAAGTCTTGAACAGGAAACGAAGTATTTCCTCTGTAAAACATTCCTCGAAGCACTTTAGAGCAGCCGCACTCGAAGTCAATTATACTAGAAATGGTCAGTGGACCGGCCTGGAATAGCATACACAGGCATCAACCCATTAGCTTCAAATAACAATATTCATGAAAAGCAGAGACTTCAAAGACTACAAGCATCCATATTAGCTGCAGATCAGGACTCAAGTCAGTCATGATGATCTCCATTTAGAATTAGATCCCTTTAGAGCCAAGAAACTTGCCCTGGTCCCCCCCATATGAAGCCAATCGAAGTGCTCTGTTTTCCAAATAATCTATTAACTAGCCATACGCACCACAATTCATGAACACTAAAGCCTGCTTCTCAGTTAGTTTCCAACTCAAAAAGTGCAGTAGAAATCCCAAAGTATGCTCATGCAAGTACATCCGGGTTGGTCTCAAGAAAATGCGGCTACCAAAATGCAATCTCCAACTGCAGGAAAAGCATGATTAGTCCCATATTTTGACTATGTTTGTATGGGAACTTGGTTTAGTAATGCTCCTGCGCATATTAAAGTAAGCAAAGTGAGTCTTTCTTTTTTAGCATGATTATGAACACGGCCATTATCATGATCATATTATCCACATACAGTTGAGTTCAGATCTTGACATGTGTGTGTGTCTGTATATAAATGCCCTAGCTCTTCTAGTTTGTCGTTATGTGTGCACCAACATGAATCTTAAGGCACATGATAAAAGATGGGCAACTCAAGAGTGGACGAGAAGGCGTAATTCCTGGATAAAGTCTGCAGCAAGAATGAATGGGATGTTTTGGATTATTTAATTTCAAAGAGATCTTTAATTTTGCGAGCAAACCACCAAGTTAAGGTCATTACAACTTGAATTTTAAAATTAGATGGAAGAACATAAAATATGTTCATGGTAGTCTTTTTATTCATTCATTTTAAAAGTATTTTTTTAAATTAATTTTTTTTTACTTTGCTTCAAATTATTTTTTAATATTTTTAAATTGTTTTAATATCTCAATTTCAAAAATAAATTTTTAAAAATAAAAAATATTATTTCAATACATCTTTATAAAAAATTTTAAAAAAAATAACTATTTTTATAAATAAAAAAATAATTTAATGCTTTTTCTAGTAAAAATTATCCGTTACCATAACACCAAAAATGCATTTAATATCAATCCCATGTAATATAATGCTGAGAACAGAACATACAGCAAATTAAATGTTAATGCGAAGAGCATTCTATTATTCTCTTTCCTTTCATTTTGTCGCTATCTCTATGAAAAATAAATAGGGAGAGGACCCTCCCTTGTCTTCTTCCCTCCTACGTACTTCTTTTCTCCCCATTTCCTTTCTTTTCAAGTTTTAGTGATCGATGGTATTCTTAATTAATTCATATCACAACAATATCTAATTATGTCATTACGCTCACAGCGTTCTCGATCCTCCAAGATTCTTGCTATAAACATCAGCAAACATTTCAAATAGATGGACATGGTGGTGTGATATGGATAACGATGCAGAGCTTCTTGAAATGGACATGGTTGTCCAGTATACTGTTTGTTCGTCAATTGCATAGGATTTTGCTACATAAATTTAAGAAAACCTGTGTATGCTGTTGTTTGCAGGAGGGGTGATGAGAGCAAGCAGAACAGATGCTGCCATGAATTTATAATAATAAGCATAACTAGATTACGAACAACGGATTCATGCTTGGTTTGAGTTATGAGATGAAAATGTTCAGATACTACTGTGGTTTATATATATATATATATATATATATATATAACTTGAGGTGATTGAATAGTTTATACATATCATAATTAATTTTTAAATTTATTGAATACTTTATAAAGTTAGTAAATAAGTAAAACACCGTGAAAATAATAAATATACAAGATTAAAATATAAAAACAAAAAATTTCCTGTCAGATCACTATGCCACGAACTGGGTGCCACTGTTGTGGTTTTTAATTCCTATGGTTGTTGTCATGAAGTCAAGCATCTTTGGAAGCTAGTGAAAGACATGATGCATGGAGACGGGTTTGTAGAAACTAAAGGTTTGGAATACTTGAGTGAAGATGTGATATTATTAGATTGAGATTTTACCTAATTAGACTAATTAAATGGATAAACTAATATATGTTTTCATGCATCAGCAAAATAGGTGTTATTTTGTCTAGGATTTTTTTATTTTGGATTATATTTTATTTTTTTAATGTCTTTTAACTTTAGGTTGTTTTTTAATAGAGATGGGTTTTTTTGATCTATTTAAAGATTCTGCAAAGAAAATTGTAAATTTAGAATATATTTCTATGCTATTGGATCTGTGCTGGTGAGATGATCAATGGCTTTAAACTTTGGAGTTGAACTGATAAAGCTTTATATTTCTGTTCCAATCCTTTATCTCTTTACCAATTGTCATTGCATTAACTAATACATTCAAAGAATTGGGGTGTGCACTGTTCATATTTTTAAATTACAAATACATTATTTTAAGTTATATGATAATGGTTTTATAGGTTGAGATATCTTTATATTTATTTATTTATATATACACACACACACACACACAAAAGACTTTTGAGATATATAATTTGGTGATAAATTCAAGACTAATTTTGCAAAATTAAAATTTATTGATAATTAAAAATACAAATTAAAAGAATATAGACTAATTTTAACAAACAAAACATACCCCATTTTGAAGTTTAATTTTTTTTAGTCTTTAAAATATTTGTGGAGAAGAGAGAAAATCACTAGAAAATATTGAAAATATTTTAACTATATAAAAGAAAAGTGATTTTAAAGTCAATGAGCTAAGCTTTTCTAGAGGAATTTGATGGAGAAGAAATTTTCACTCTCACCATATTGGAAAAGATAGATTAAGATTGCTAATTTTTTTATTTGGCTTTTTATTTATATTTTTTTAGAGAGATTAGAGGTTTTTGTTTTTTTGTTACAAATAGGTTTTAAAAGTCTTCTAAAGTTTTTTTTTTTTTTCAATTGAAAACAAGTTAAGAAAGAGATTTTTGGGGTTTCAAAACTCAAAACCTAATTTCTTTTGTCATCAAAGATAATCAAAACATGTTATAGATAATGACATGTCGTATCTTCCAAGGTAAAATAAAGATTTCTTTTGGTTATTTACTTATCAACTACTCCATTAAAAAAGTTAGCCCACTCTTGATTTGGCCAGGCACGTGGATTTAATCTGTTAGGCCAAATAATGCTTCTTCTTTTTTTTAATTTTGTCTTTGTCTTTGTTTTCTTTATAATTTTAATTATTTTTATAATTATTAATTTAACACCTTTGTTCTTTTTTATGTATTTTTTATATTTTATTTATTTTTATTGAAATTTAAATTAATATCCTCTCTCTCTGATTTTTTTTAAATTATTTAATTCATTTTTAAAAAAAGTAGTAATTTTTTTATAGTACTTCAAAGAGATTATTTTAATTCATCTTTAAATTTATTTCTTTTATATTTTATTTAATAAATTATATTTGCGTGGTATATTTAAAAAAATAAAAATTATTAGTTATTGATAAGAAAAAAATAACCTTTAAGATAAAAAAATTATAAATTAAAAAAAGTTGAGGTTAAATATTTGTATACATCAGTTTTTTTTCTTTTGGAAGAAAAATTAAATTTTTATTAGTATTTAATTAGCATGAAAAATGTTTTCTTAATTTATCGGTTTATTTTTTTAATTTATTTCATTAAATGTAAATAATATCCTTTTATTTTTAAATTATATATATATCAAAAAACTTTTGTACCATTTATTATACATGTGCAATCATTCATCATAAAATTTAAAATTCATATTTTGAGCTACAATAACACTCCAATCCAAACAAAATATCCCCATCCATATAAGTACAGAATATACTGTAAATTATTATATTTAAGGTTTTAATTCATATAAACAGTGACGTAAGTACCTCTCTTTTTAAAAAAAAAAAATATCTTTCAATATTCATTTAATTTTAAATTAATTTTTACAATTAATTTTAATTTTCTTTTATATCATTGTATTCTTAAACAAATATCTCGATACTTAATTTGTGTTCGATTTTACAAGGATTTATTTTAGTTATTATATAATTAAGTAAAATATAATTTAAAAAAAATTGTCAAATATATTAAATAACTTAGATTGCAAATTTAAAGGGTTAGACAATATAACAAGTTAATTCAATACATCATTGTTTCACTATTAAAAAAAGAAAAAAAATCAACTTGAATGTTTTTTTTTTAAGCCAAATCATATTTTTTATTTTTCATTCAGGTTAATTTTAGATCCATGAGACTAACTGGATCATATCAAAATAACTTTTATATGATATAGTTTTAAACTTAAACTAAACAAGATTCAAATCAGGAGATTTTAAATTTTTTTATCTGAGTTAAGTTTAATAATAATAACAAATAATTTTTTATAACTTGAATATTTTTTTATATTATTTTTTTATCCAACCTCCACAATACATAGCCTTGTAAACTAATTTTAAAATATTTTTAAACTATAAACTTCAAATAATTTCTAACGTGGTATCTTTAACTAGCAAGTTAAGGTTTTTTTAGTCGTGTAATAAACAAATTCATATCATGTCACTACCCATGAGACTTTAGACTAAAAAAGATAAAAAAAAAAAAAGTTATCATATAATTTTTTAAGAGACTAAGAATTTTAAAGTTTGCATTATTTCATAAAAAAAAATTAATGAAGTGGTTATGTTTAATATAGTATAAAAATCACTGAAAAATATCATAAATTATTCTACATGTTTTTATTCATAATTCATATTTTGAAAGTCATTATAAATAATAAGCCGAGTTTATTTTAAATCAAGTTTATGTAAATTTAGAATTAATTAAGTCAAGCCTATTTAGCATGGAAAATTGTGAAAGCATGAAAGATGTTTGATATGTTAAATTAAAGAAGATTTATTGAAAAATGTTGTGAAGTTTATAAATATTTATTTTTATGTTTTAAAAATATTTTTAAAAAAATTTATTTTTTATTTTAAATTAATATATTTTTAGTGTTTTAAAATGATTTTAATGTGTTGATATTAAAAATAATTTTTTAAAAAATATTATTTTAATATATTTTAAAATAAAAATATTTTAAAAAATAATTACTATCATATTTTTAAATATACTATACATTATATTTAAAAATAGTACTTCACATCGGATCCAATCAAGACATGAAAATTAAAATAATAAAACATGATTTTACAGCGAGCCAAGAAATCATTAAAGCCTAATTACAAAATCACATTAATGGCAGATCCCAAAGTTAGGAGTCTCATCAATTTGATGTCGGATTATCATATGTGGAAATTATTATGGCAAGCAAACAAGTGACAATAAATTAAATATGTCTAAATTAACGCAAACCCCACAAAGGCTAACATGTTTTATTTCTGATCAAACAAGCATGGAATTACAGCAGATATGTTCAAGCTGAACACCCTCCTATATAATTTGTTTTTATATTTATATGACATGAATAAAATTTAACCATATCACATAAAGAAGCATGCTTCCGTGAAAGTCTTGCCCACAAAATATGATATATACTGACACTATTATATATTCTTTTTTATCAAAAAAAAAATTTAAAATCTTCATGATGATATTTTCACTTTGTGATTTAAAAAATTACACTTTATGTACTATTATTTATATAATTCATAGCATTTTATATACTAATATTATTATTTATCATTATGTATGTCATCTTATTCGGTATTTACAGAAACAAATAAGATGATATGGATAAA